CCCCCCCGTGACCCTAGTGAGGATTAAGCGGTGTATAGATAATGGATGGATGGATTCTTTGGTCAGGTGATGGTCAAAATTAAGTTGTTCAGCTGAGATGGGATCCAGCATATTCGGCACAAACCTGACCAGGACAGTGAAACCGCAGAACCAGCAGCGAAGCACGTAGGTGGGAGTGTGACGATACGGGCTGCACGAGTACAAAAGGTGTTGGGAAAATGATATTTATAGATGACACCGTGAATACCTGTGGGTACCAAAATACTGATAAGACAAGCCCCAGTCTCCAAAAGCTGGGCAGTGATCCAAACTCACACACAAGTTTCTCAAGAAGAAGAAAGTGAAGTGGATTTACTGTGGATCCTGACTTTCAGTCCAGTGAGTCAAGCTCCAAAAGACGCTCCATCATCACGAGCATATTCCATCAATACCTTGGAAATCAGTGTTTTTAACTTGAGAATTTCTTGATAATGATATCAGATCACACATGCCCCCCAGTTTCAAGTCTTTCACTTTCAGTTTGCCATGTAGGATTTATGCAATTTCATCCTCAANTTTTTAAAAACTAATCATAAACATTTTTAATGGAAGACCTAGATTTGTAAAATGATAGTGTCCTGTTGGGCCCGAATAAAGTTCTTATTAAAGTATTCTTTACTGTTGATATGTGTCATTGGCGCCTTTCAAACTAGAAGTTATTGTGTGAGTATAGGAAGTCAGGTCATTGAGAGTCAAGTGCAAGTGTAGTCATGAGTCACTGGTGACTGGTGGAGCTGCAAGACTTTGTCAAGTTGAGCTGAAAGTCATGACCAGATTCTGTCTAGAATTCAAATGGTGTCCATCCCTCTAGGTTTGTATGTGCACAGTAACTATTCTACTATAACTGAAGTTATTTAACAACAATCAGAATTATTGTTCTTTTCATTAGCTGACTGGGTCACTAAGGCAGATATTGTTCCTGCTCAGGGAACGAATAAGTGAATAAAAGCATGAACTAAATGAACACACACTTTTCATAACGTACCTCTGTTAAAGGTGGCACATTGCTAATTTGGATAGAATTATCAAAGTAAGGCTCATATCCTGACTTTTCGTCACTAATTCTCATGATGCAGCTTGATCACACCTCTGGTAATCTTTATATCTAGTGCAGTGGGTCCCAAACTAGTGGTTGGGAGGCCGCATGGTTATTTCCAAATATCACATATTTTAGCCACAACTGCCACTAAAACATGTTTGCACATGACAAAAACAATGTAGGAGTCTGTGAAAGTCTTTCAGTGGAACTCAACATTTCCTCTAATTCATCCTGATTTGTGTACCTGATATCTAGACTGAGGAGGGGTCCACACAACAAAACTTATCAGGTTGTTAGTACATAGCCTCATTAATACCTTCCCTCACCTGGCAGTTTCACAATCATTCACACCTCCAGGTATGGAAGTTTTTCAGTTAACAGATCGTTATTCTTTAGGGGTGAGAATGAATACCTGGGAATCCCTCCCACTCAGTTAGATATGAGGAAATGTCTTGAAGAACAAAAGCCATTGTCTCTTATTCAAGCCTTGTTCATAATCATGGCCTGGATGACTCAGAATGTATACAGACCCGACTGCAACTTGCACCAACAACACACGTATTCTATTTTTTTCCTGCAATAAATTACTACGAAGTCATATTTCTATTACTAGACTGGTGTGTTTGTTTGTGTTGCTCATGTCTAGACTGGCCCGCTAACGCATGCACACAGCAACGTAGGCATGCGTCAGCCACATCTACAAAAATGTTATTGCCCAGCCGTGATCCATCAGAAGTACTCATGATGTGTTTGTTTCACCAGATGTGCAAAAGCTGCAGTATTCCTTCAAGTGAAAATAATGAGCTGCATGTAGTTAGTTTGAGGAAATATGCGACCCCGACTCACCTCTTCTGTTTTCCTGCGGAAGTACTCGATTTTATATTTGATTTTACAACTATCCGGCAGGCCGTCTGGCTTGTCCCAGGACCAGGACACGTTCACAACAAACGGGTCTTTCCCCCACTTGTGTGTCAAATTACTGGGTGCAGGAAGGCTCTGATCTGTAACCAAACATCACATATTTCACCTTTTCATACATTGTAATCACATGCCAAACACAAACATGCAACCTCTGACAACTCTCGCTGCTGGTTTGAGGGCCAGACCTTTATGTTGGAGGTTACCAAGCGCTGGAAACAGAAAGTGAGACTTCCTGTAACAGTGTCCTACATCTATCTGAAAGCTGTAAAGCTGCAGCGGCGAAGTGCGGCCATAAACAGAAGCAGTTTAGTGTTTTTGTGCCACACCTTTTCAGCAATCATGGTAGTTAGCTGCTGTAAGAGTAGCCACAAATAGAAATTCAGCCGACTCTTGTCCCATAAACTCTTTTCCTGTTATATTATATATTATACATCCTGAAAAGAATCAGACAGAGGTTACACTTTATCTTTATTCAATTCAATAAAAATAAATAATAATAATAAAGTACTTTATTTGTCACCTAGTGGCAACTTAAGAATTTATTAAAAAGATAATAAAATAAACAATTTGCTTAATTTTAAATATAACTAAGTGGCAGTTTAAAAATCTGCCTCAAGCTGCTCTGTCATAGCATCGTCACATTCTTTTAAATATTCCATTACTAGTTCCAGTATCTGCAGTGTGTGTCACTACACTTTCAAGACTGTTGGCTGCGCAACAAACAGCCAAGTGGTAAACTGCTGCTGGCAAAACAGGAGGAAAAAAAAACTGAGCAGCAGAACAAATGGGATTTTTTTTCTTTTCATTCAAACTTTACCAAAAAAAAGGCATTGGGGAATCTGTTTAAATTACTTTAGCCAACATCTTTGTAGGACAAAAGGATCTTTCAATTAAGTAGTGGTAGTTAAGATGATTAAAACAGAATCACAGTGACATTAATTGGTTTACAGAAGATAATTGGAAGAAAATGGGGGGAAAAACCCCAGGGTTCATAGTCCTACTTGATGGTGACGTAGTTTTCCATCCAGCTGTGGATGTGTTAATAAATGATGGAAACGTGCCAGTAAAGCCTGCTAAATGAACTTTGATAGGCCACAAGGGCGGATCTGAGGACAAGAGGGTTTTAAGGACAACAGTATTGTAAAAGTGGTGACATTTTCTGTTTTTTTCTTTCTTTTTTCTCCCAAAAAAAAAGTCTTGAAGGCTGGGAAGATATGGACAGAAATGGAAAGAAGAGGCCAGGAGACAGAGAGAAGACCACAGCAGGAAACGAGGAGGAAGGGAATCTATTAAGCTTCAGAAGTGAAACCCCACCATGTACTGTAAAAAAAAATCTGTTGCCACCTTAGATCCGCCACTGGACTTTGGTACGACAGCACTTCACCTGATCAAAGCTGATATAATTAACTTGATTATCAGAATCATGGCTATTTAATTAAAGAGTCTGCCTTACCTGCTTCACTGTGGAAAACCATTAACACAACGGAGCACAAAAAAGCCCAAAACTCCGCATTAAGCGTCATGTTGTCCTCAAGCGTCCGTGCGTTTATTTGGTCTGGAAGCGCGTAAAACTCCTTCAATTCCTCTGAGAGAGAGTCATCGGGGAAACACAGGCGACACACTGTGTAGGATTTAGTTTTGTTTTTAAAAACTGAAGAGGAAAATAAATCCAAATGCAGGGGAAAGTAGGATGAAGAGATTCTCAAAAACACCTTTATAGTGTCTGTGGCTCCGCGGTGTCCTCAGCGTCTACCGGGAACGGCGGGGAGGAGCCTGTGAGAGAGAGCGAGGGTGGGAGGCTGTGACAGTCCCTCCTGAGTGGAAACCAGTCCTGCAAAGACTGTGTGAGGAGCAACCCTACATGTGTTGAAGGAGTCTCTGAAATAAGGAAACCGCAAGAGTGGCTCAAGTAAATGAGATCAGATTTACGCATGCGTGCGCAAAACCAAGTATCCATCCATTCCTCCAGGAAGTCGTAAGGCTCCAGATGAGTCTGTGAATCATTAAGCCTCATAATGTGTGTGGTAATGGAGTTTGGGCAGCAACAAACAACAGAGTGGGCTGTGTGTTGGTACAGTATGCAATAGAAGTGGGACTATTTAAATGCCAAATGATCCAATCACTTGTGTTTCAATCCAAAACAAATACTTTAGAATGACGATAAAGAAAAGCACCAAAGTAGAGACTTGGTGCAAAAAAAAAAAAAAAAGTGAACACACCTGTGATGGACAAGTAAGAAAACACGTGATTCTTGAAATTAAGTCTAAAAGGAACCTTTATCGACAGCATCCAAGCATGCAAGGAGAAACTTC